ACAGCACACAAACCAATCACAGCCAACAGATGATGGACAGCACAAAATCATGTCCTTAACTTTTTTTTTTCTTAAATGGCCTATCCTGTCCCATCATGTCCCATTCCAAATTGATGTCATAACTTGAGAACATCATTACAAATTTGGTTCCTGTTCTTTAAAGTAACCTAAACTTCTACACCTGTTCTGATTCAGGTTTTAGGAGTAAGGGCATTTGTATAACGCTACATGAAGACATTTTCTTGATTTATAAATTGTGCAAAATAAATGCTCTCAACAATAATTAGTGTCACAATCTAAGTAATAAAGTATTAAGATATTGAACAAATTTGACATTCCTTTAATTATAATACATTTTCTCTTCATCGGCTGACAGATCAATGCTATAGCTAGATACAGAAGTGTATATCTGTGGTTTAGTTACTTCATATTGCTTAATAATGATGTCTTAGTTCATAACCAGACACCAACATTCTTTATCTGACAAATGACATGAGGCAAATATATAAAACATGAATAAATGACAATGGAATGTCTTGAAACAATGCCGAAATTTGATACAGGAGACCTAGTTTTCATGTTCAGGAAATTTCTTACCGTTGAAAAAAGTGGAACTAAATCATAAAATATGTAAAGAGAAAAACAAGAAAAGTCGAAATTATCACATTCTTAACAATATGTGATTAAAAAGGGTAACATTCTGAAAGGTTCTCTATTTATGAAAATGACGAAAGGATGTCAAAAGCACGTGTTACAATATGAAAGTCCGAGAGGAGTATCGAATGTAAACAGAACGTAAACATAGCGGTTTTCGTGTAGTTTTCTTCATACTGAAGTTATCTTGGCTTTGTTTATGAACCTGTCTATTAGAGAAGCATATTTTCATTGAAATAAATATTCCAGATAGAAGAGAAACATTACCTTTGAAAACATGCACGTTGTTTGTCACCTTGCATATTTCGGCGAGACACTCACATTTCAGGCACATCCATTTCCTGTCTGAAAGTAGAAGCATGATGTCATATCCGGGTGAGAAATATTGGAGGGTCTCTTTAGGGATAATCGTGTAACTACGATTATGTATGGTTTACATCATTAACTGGGTAAGCAAAATTGTTTGTTTGTTAACAGGTTCTTTTCCTAAGGCGGTCGGTTTTACCTAATGTACTGTTTATATCTTTCCTTATTATTTATCTCGTTGTTTGAAGGAACGAAGAAAAAGGGAAAGGACATTTTCCCCGAAGTTTGATTTCGGAAGACTTTTTCCCTGTTATGATATAACCAGAGACGTATTTAACCTGTATCTGGGTATAACATGAATACCCAAAACCGGAAAAAATTAAATGAAAGAAAAGTTCCATTTCAACTGCATCCCAATTTTTAGCTGGACAAATAATACGGACGCTTTCTTTTGTGTGGAGAATTGGTTCGTCAGCATTCAAGTTAGGTGTAGCATAGGCAGATATTTTTAAATCGAGACGGGCCGTCCTACGGTCAATGCACATGCATCACAATAAAACTTTACTGTAGAAAAATCAACTGGTCAAATCAAATGACGGCGATCATTCTTTCCTGGTTACAACACAAGTTATTAGGAACAGTTATTGTCTCATATCTACTGATTTGACGGAAAACCTTAAATACAAATTTTGACTTATATTTACATCACCAACTAACATTCTGAGCAAAATGTACCCAGTTATATCGAGCGGAAACTACATCTTTTTTTATCATTGTGAATCGACGACTAATTAGAACAGTCGAAAATGTCGGGAACAGCTGACAAGAGAATTGTGACGTCACAATACAGCCAAATTGCACCATTATCATATAGTTTCTTCATTTCATTAATCATCTTGGCCCGGTACTCAGTATTGAAAAGTATAGTTGGGATCAAAATAAACTTGGTGTCTAGTGCACCTTTAAGTGCACACATAGTGAACACGGTAGTGCACAACTATAGAAATTGCAGTAACTATGATGTCTACAGTGCACTACGGTGAAAATATCATCCATTTCTCCACTATACAGCTAAAGATCTTAAGATGATTACACCAGTATTTTAAAGATGATCGATATATTAGTTAATTGACAATAGGAATAAGCATTCGATTTTATGACATGTGTTTCATTTCGGATTTCCTATTGAGTAATCAGACAATGAACAAACCATGAAAGATTTTAGCTTCATTGAGCGTTGACATTTATTTATAGAAAAATCCATAGTTAAATATAATGTGTGAGTAACTGAACACAGATTGATTGTTAGATACATTAAATAAAGACTGTAAACCAAGATTGATGAAAGGACAAGAACATGTAAATAAGAATATCACAATATCGGCAAATGTTATCACGGCTAAACAAGATAATAAATTATAAATAATTTGGGAACTAAATTGTACGAGTTGTTACATAAGCATAAAGTTATTCGTTATAACGCCTTGTTTGTATTAGGCTGGCCGATCATGATTTGTACCATTTCGTTATTTTGTCTTCTCGGAGCGAAAAGACGAAATAACAAGAATTCATATTTTTAATTATCGTCGTAAGTTCGAGGGGAATAGACGAAATAACGAATGACGCAAATCCGCCGTTATAGTTAATATTTGACTGAGAGCGTGTTGAACAGGATCTGAGGAGGATACAATGTGTAGTATGCGGTATATCATTAGAAGACAGGGTGACTACGGCTATATCAGACTGAAATAGTAAAATTTGACTATAAAGTGTTATGAGTGATCCAGGGTGGTCGGGTGGCGCAGTGGTAATGTATTCGCCTTTCGCCTACATTGTACTAGACGTCCTGGACGTGCTGATTATTCAAACGGATTTGAAAAGCTAGGGGGTCACCTACCCGACCACGTGTGCTTTCTACGGTACTCCGGTTTCCTCTCGCAATAAGACCCCTCACGCACTTCCACTTAGACCAAATATTGATAATATTATTACATGAAATAATGTTTATTAAGCGACTGAGAATTTCATCAATTAGGCTTCTTCTTTCGACCCACAGTTAAAATATAGAAACGCATTACAGTTGAGAGAAATCAACATTTATGCTGAATTTGACACACGCATGGAGTGAATAATGAAGTTTATTCTAATTCGTTCGTTCAAATTTAACGGATATCAGAAAAAAGAATAAGGTTTATTTTTTATTATAAAATACCTCTGTATTAAAATTGGTAGAAGTGATGAAATATGTTCATCGTGTTTAAGTTTAACTTTCAGTCATAGTACTGTATCTTTTACTGTTCACGTCACTTTCAATATTATATAAATTTCCACAAGAATGCGTATGTCAAGAATGCAATAGTTTGTCCAGGAATTACCTCCCCTCGAACACTGAGTCTCGCGATTGCAGATGCTAGTTTTCGTGTGGCGGTTAAATGTGATATCATGTCGGCATGCTGTAAAATTAATTTTGGTTTTCAGTGAAATGTAATTTTATGTATCACTATACTATAGTCACCCCTTTCCTTCGCCTCTGACTCCCTGTTGAATGCTAATAATATCCCGTGGTTTTATTTCCCCCATACCACGTACAGATATATTTGGCTTATTGCGTTGAGCGGCGAATTATCCTGTCTAAATTAACAGCATCTTATCTTATAGTGGAATTCCCTGGTGGTAAATCACAAGCATATTATTAAAATCTTGACACTCTGTTTTAGATCTCGGCTACAGATAACACATATATATGACCAATCGGAGCTAACGACATTACGAACTAGTAAATTGTCAAATATATATCTTTGCCATTATCAAGACACATTACAAAAGTTACATCACAAACTTAAAAACTTAAAACAAAGATAAAGTCGCAGACTACAGTGTAAAGTGTTTCGATATTCCCTTCAGATGGACGCCGAACGCCCATTATAACAAACTAAAACATCTTAAGCTGGTTTCGTCCGATTAAAGACCGAACGACTGAAGGGCCTTAGCGTTACAGTGGACGTTAAACTCGTTAAATAGATAAATATGTCTTAAACCGGCTTTTGAAGGTTGGTGATTCAAATAAAAATAAATTAAATTAATTAATATCTACCAGTACAATAGCATTTGAGCATATATGGGTGATCGCAGATTTTCTTTTAGCGTCACTCCCCGAGAAAAGGGTTTGTGATGCCATATACCGGGGTTCGAGGCCCGGACAGGGCAGGAGTCAAAATTTGTCATCCTTCGTCAATTGTGTTACAATGTCTAATATATAAATTCTAATGAGGTGTGTATCGTATCTTTTACACATCCCTAATCCTAGAAATATCGGGATAGAAAACGAACGTAAAATGTTCTGAAAGACGGGCAATAGTAATTAGTGAAACTGAAGTAATCCTTTGAAATCTGATTAGCCAGGACAGCTGTTGATGAAAAGGTTTGAATTATGGGCTTGTGCACCTTCCTATCTTAATTTTGATTTTTTTTCCCACACCGATTTTGACTATTTAATTCCATAGCATCAATGACGAATCCTAGGAGGACGAAGCATATCTGCCTTTACTTTGTCTGATTATAAACGTGTATCTTTTATACAATATCTGAGATGGTACGTATTGGGAAGCTGTAAGATTTTGGTGATTTTTCCCGCGAAGAAATATCGATAGGTTTAACAACGTTTGCATTCACTTACACACCTCATCTTTATTTGTGTACAGGATGTTTGATTAATATTTCTCCTTTAAGGGCCCCTAAATACAAAGTGGGCGTGTACCCTTATATCGGAGATCGCTTGTATCCATAAAAATATTTTTCTCTTGAAACGATTCCGCCTAGATATTTCTTTAAAACTTCGATATTATTATCTTAAATTTTATTAGGCATAAATTCTATAAACAAAATTAAAATACATACAAATAGTAGAACTGATTAATTTTTATTTGTTTTGATGTAAGCGAAACAATCATGGCCACAGAAAAACAGAAATCAGCGGACGGAAAGAAGATCACTATGGAGATTGCTTGATAACTGTCTTATGAAGAAATTATAAGGACAAAATGGCATCTATATTAAAAAATCAGATTCTCAAGCATCTGTCTAAGTAAGTAAAATTATAGTAATTTAATTGAATTACGATTTTGAAGCATTAATGTTCTGGACCCTGCAGACAAGAGAAGTGAATTATTAAGTCAATAACATGTTAAAAGTATGTTATAGATACATGACTTGTTATCCCCAGTATTGGTCAAATAACATGTGACTGACCAACACGAGCTTGTAACGCTGGTCATTTTGTATATATATATTTATAGATCTCAACATGTTAAATGATATGTTTAACACTCTTTATTTCATTACTAAAGAAAAGAGGCAATAATAGTACAGTTTTAAGGCATAATCATCTATATTTACACAGAATGTGTAGGGATCCTTAAACAATCCAAAAGAAGAACACAAAATTCACATACTATACTCATTCTAATAATCGCTTGGTCTCTAATAATATTCTATTCATAACTCTGCGAGTCAAAAATCGTCTATTCAGCCCTACTCCAACAATATGTAAGATATTACCATGCCAACAAACTTTAAACAGGTTATGTGTAACCTCTAACTTATCACCGGTGATTTACTTGATGCTGACTGTCACATTTTCAAAGTTCAGATTTTAGTTACACATGATGTTTGTGCAAGGGCTCGATTAATTTCTAACCACAGATCTGTGATGAAATCAAAATTGTTTCCTGCAAAAAATGGATAAGTAATTATCTTCTAAATAAAACCGATGGAACATAAAGTTAAAAGTCTCCACTATAGATATATAAATAGGCTTGGTTGATATAAAAACAAAATGCATATATGCAGAGAATTGCTTTTCTAATCTATGCTAGTATTCATATCATCTTATATTAGATCCATTTGTGTTTTTAATTAAAAGCATCATATTTGAAAGCTAGATCAACACTGCCATGGACTGTGCCTAGGAGTTGTTTTTTTTTGTGATAAATGGTTATTTAGGTTATATTTGGATAGGATGATAATCCCAAAATTGTCAGTGTACATAGTTGTAATAAGGTTAAACTATAAACAGAGATATAATTAGATCTTTATTTTAACTCTTATTTGAGTGCAAAATGAACATCAAAGAATCGCTGCTTGGGAGGTACAATAACAGGGCTCTCACACCCCATTTTGGGACTGGGGCCCGGGGCCCTTAGCGACGTTTTCTTTAGAATTGTGAAAATCTGGGGTCTAAATTGGGAAAAAAAGATACTATTTTGCATTTGGAATGGGACAATTCGGCCCCCAAATCTGGCAGATCGAGAGCCCTGAATAACGTCAGATACCAAATCAGCCAACCTGTGGCCTCTTATGCTATGTTACATCCAAATGATTTTAAGCACTTAAATCAACATTTGGTCTTGATGATTATATACTGTGAACATGGAAATTTACGCATGTTGGAAATTCACATTAAATACGCTGAAGTAATTCGGCTGCAAAAATTTAGCCCATGCACATGAATTTATGACATATTACATACATATGGGTGAAATATGCAAATCCCCTCGCTTACAGTTTTTTTTTGAAATCGTGAAGTTATCCCCCTGTGATAATAACTATGTGTACAGTTTACAGATAAATATACCCTTTAGCAACCTTTGTTTTCTTCATGTTAAATAATCTGGAAGAAATGACAACTATTAAATTCTGTCTTTAGTCCTGTTACAGGATATAGAGTAAATACTTTAGTGGTATATATATGAGACCTACAATGAGTTTGACTAAGCAGGTAGTATAAAAAGACATGACTTTTTCAAGAAAAAAATTTCTGTCTAGTGACAGTTTGAACCCTTTTGAGTCCTGTTTCACTTACAATTTGAGTTGTTTCAAATATCAGGTATAACTAAAGACTTTGGCATCACAATCATCACTCTATGTGGTCATGATGTTAAACACTGTGGGTAGCAGGCTTGAAATGACCATCGTAAGCAATTGATAGTGCCAAATTTTACACATACATGTCACCTAATTAGCATTTATCGGTGTAAATTCTTTCATATCTTGCTGTCACAACATGCTCGTGCAAGCTGACACAACTTGAGGCCCCCAACTCTTGTATATATATATATATATATCAGTATATTGAATCTAGTAAGTAATATCGACAGTATGGTCCAATATTGGTACTGGATCGTAACAAACAAATGTTCTTTGGATGCATATTACTGGAATAGATATATGATCAAAGAAATGATAGCGACAGTACAGACAAGCGAATTGTCAAATTTTCTAGGCAACCTGCCCCTTTATGAAGACAAATATTACATAAATAACATCACATACATAGAACAAAAAAACAAATACAAAGTTATAAATCTAAATATATCAGTATGCATATATATATATAGATATACAGTTGTATATATATATGTATGTATGGACCACAGGATGTTGGCATGTGTATTGTCACTTCACCACTACTTGTTGAGAGAATCACATCAAGACTGTCCTAATTTATTCTGTTAAATAAATAATCGTTGGGGTCATAGAGATTTTTACAAACATTAATTGGTAGTCTTAAGTCTCAATCTACACTTTGCGTACCGGTAAGTCAGCGGTAACTTCCGGCAATACACAAGCAGACATCACATGTACTTTTTTCTGGCTACATTTAATATGGTTTCTTCAGTGCAATATCTAACATGATGAAGAACAAAATAAAACCTGTAATATCTGAACAGTTGATTATCATGTACCGTACATGTGCCATATTTTAATTGACATATGATTTTTATGAAGAAATGATATTACCGATGGGTAGTTTCCTGCCTTGCTACAAGTACATACTATATATACCATCTGCATTATATGTCTCTGCATGTTAGGACACGTGGTCATGATTTCGGGCAATGTCAAATCTGATCGTTTTAATTCTCATTCATTTTCAGTGTCATAATTCATATAATTTGAATTGGCTCAACGGTATTTATTTAATATGGTTCAGACGGACTAGAAGTGTTTGGTATGATGGATAACTTGCCATTACTGGTATCACTGATCCCTCATCTGAATACCAAAGGGATTGATGAATGAGGGTTGAATCAGGGACAGATTGTTGTTTTTATAGATACCAACATGCTTTACCTGCATCTATGTATCTTATTCTTAGTGGTATGATTAAATAATCATAAATATTCATTAGTACTGTCATTTGAAAATGAGTTTGAAATTTGCCAAAAAATACAGAGCCAATGCCATCAGCTGGTTTTAACACGGAAATTATAGTGTTGAAAGTTATTGAGTTTGAAATTCTTTTCTTATTAACGCCATAATTCCTTTTGAAAATTTCTTTGTAGTTTTTGTGCCTTTTACCAATAATGATCAGCCTTAGCGCCTGTACTTTGAAATTTTTAATTGTCTTCGTTGCTATTAGAATGAATACAATAAGTTCTATCAAATACCTAGACAAATACTGTGAAAGAATGAAAAGGTTGAGAAGCAGAATGGGAAACTTGTGTTTTTCTATGAAAATTGATCCTGGAATTGAGTTTAAAGCTGAAAATGCACAGTCAAGTTACTTTAGTTTACAGCTTTAGACACAAAACAAAAGACTAAACAGCAAGAATGACCATATTGATAAAATCTGTGTCAGTTCAGAAAAGAAAATAAATAGGATGTTGAGTGACAGAAATGTCAAATCTACAATAGAAGAAATCTGAGAAAGGTGGAAGACTGCAAATGAAGAAGCCGCAATTCAAACTTACTACATGTCTAGATAGTGATAATGCTTAAGAATTACAATTGGTACTATCAATACATTATACCTCTATTTTAATCTCTGATGTAGTTTTACTTTTCTTGGAACTTAAATTCATTTCAGTTCCTGTTGGGTAATCTTCCTATAATACTCTTGGTGTAAAAATTACTAAAATAAAGATTACTGCATAGATGTGTATGTATATAGTAGTTTTGAATAGAAATGTTGTGAGAGGGACGATACATGCTTCGCTACTGTGAGTAAATCAAAGATGATTAAACATACTCTGATAGATAAGAGCATTCTCTGTATCCACAACAATCATATTTAATCTGCTTAAAGGACGAGAATTTATATCCGGCCACTGCATAATATCATCGAGAATGATGTGATGATATGATACACACTCTGAGTAGAAAGTGATGTGTATATAAACATACCTGTTTTGAGTGGGAGATTGGTGGGGATATTTAATGTTATACATTTGATCTATTTCATAGGTTTACTAAGAACTTATCTCCAGACAAGATAAACTTGAGCACGTTACGTGGAGAAGGAGAGTTATCTAACCTGGAACTTGATGAAGCTATTCTTATGGACCTCATGGATCTTCCTACATGGATGAGGCTCAAGAAAGCTGTCTGTAACAAACTTACCATCAAGGTATGTTATTTTTTTTTTTTTTTTTTTATTATTTATTTCACAACATTTGCAAAACAAGCTTATATTTTATACTTGTCATTCCTTTTGACTTGAAATGAAGTAGTGAGGTTTATTGTGTGAGAAATACAAAATATTCAAGATGAAGGGGGATAATTGGGGGGGAGGGGGGTCAATGTGGCCAGACTGGTGTCACCATACCAATTCACTTCCTATTTAGCAATGGAATCCACATTACCTGTGTGAAGATGATTGAGTCAACCGACCTCATACAACATTAAGAACAGAAATTTGGACCCTTACATTTGTAGATGTGATTTGATTGATTGGTATATGTTGTAGGTGTGACAGGGTTGGTGGGTATATGCTGTAGGTGTGACAGGGTTGGTGGGTATATGTTGTAGGTGTGACAGGGTTGGTGGGTATATGTTGTAGGTGTGACAGGGTTGGTGGGTATATGTTGTAGGTGTGACAGGGTTGGTGGGTATATGTTGTAGGTGTGACAGGGTTGGTGGGTATATGTTGTAGGTGTGACAGGGTTGGTGGGTATATGTTGTAGGTGTGACAGGGTTGGTGGGTATATGTTGTAGGTGTGACAGGGTTGGTGGGTATATGTTGTAGGTGTGACAGGGTTGGTGGGTATATGTTGTAGGTGTGACAGGGTTGATAGGTATATGTTGTAGGTGTGACAGGGTTGGTGGGTATATGTTGTAGGTGTGACAGGGTTGGTGGGTATATGTTGTAGGTGTGACAGGGTTGGTGGGTATATGTTGTAGGTGTGACAGGGTTGGTGGGTATATGTTGTAGGTGTGACAGGGTTGGTGGGTATATGTTGTAGGTGTGACAGGGTTGGTGGTTATATGTTGTAGGTGTGACAGGGTTGATGGGTATATGTTGTAGGTGTGACAGGGTTGGTGGGTATATGTTGTAGGTGTGACAGGGTTGGTGGGTATATGTTGTAGGTGTGACAGGGTTGGTGGGTATATGTTGTAGGTGTGACAGGGTTGATGGGTATATGTTGTAGGTGTGACAGGGTTGGTGGGTATATGTTGTAGGTGTGACAGGGTTGATGGGTATATGTTGTAGGTGTGACAGGGTTGATAGGTATATGTTGTAGGTGTGACAGGGTTGATAGGTATATGTTGTATGTGTGACAGGGTTAATGGGTATATATTGTAGATGTGACAAGGTAGATATACATAAATGTTAATGTGACAGGGTAAATTGAGATATGTTAAGGTGTGACATTGGTGGTAAAAACCAAACTGTGAGAGGTTAATATGTTCATAGGTGTGACAGGGTTGAAAATTGAGATTGATAAATGTCATTGTGAAGCAGTGTTACAGTGAGGCAGAAAACTAAACTGGGGTTGATATGACTGTAGTGAGGCAGAAAACAAAAATGAGGGTGATATAAATGGCTGTTATGTTGTAGGTGTGAAAGGGTTGGTAATATGTTGTAGGTGTGACAGGGTGATATGCTGTAGTTGTGACAGGGTTGGGAGTATATGTGTGGCAGGGTTGATTGGTTGTAGGTGCCACAGGGTTGATGGGTATATGTTGTAGGTGTGACAGGGTAGGGTATATGTTGTAGGTGTGACAGGGTTGATGGGTATATGTTGTAGGTGTGACAGGGTTGGTGGGTATATGTTGTAGGTGTGACAGAGTTGATGGGTATATGTTGTAGGTGTGACAGGGTTGGTGGGTATATGTTGTAGGTGTGACAGGGTTGGTGGGTATATGTTGTAGGTGTGACAGGGTTGGTGGGTATATGTTGTAGGTGTGACAGGGTTGATGGGTATAAGTTGTATGTGTGGCAGTGTTAATGGGTTTAAGTTGTAGGTGTGACAGGGTTGATGGGTATATGTTGTATGTATGACAGGGTTGATGGATATATGTTGTAGGTGTGACAGGGTTGATAGGTATATGTTGTAGGTGTGACAGGGTTGGTGGGTATATGTTGTAGGTGTGACAGAGTTGATGGGTATATGTTGTAGGTGTGACAGGGTTTATGGTTATATGTTGTAGGTGTGACAGGGTTGATGGGTATATGTGGTAGGTGTGACAGGGTTGATGGGTTTAAGTTGTAGATGTGACATGGTTGTTGGGTATATGTGGTAGTTGTGACAGGGTTGATGGGTATATGTTGTAGAAATGACAGGGTTGATAGGTATATGTTGTATGTGTGACAGGGTTGGTGGGATTATGTTGTAGGTGTGACAGGGTTGATGGATATATGTTGTAGGTGTGACAGGGTTGATAGGTATATGTTGTAGGTGTGACAGGGTTGGTGGGTATATGTTGTAGGTGTGACAGGGTTGATGGGTATATGTTGTAGATGTGACAAGGTAGATATACATAAGCAGTTAATGTGACAAACTAAATTGAGATTGATAAGGTGACATTGTGGCAAAAACCAAACTGATCTAGAGGTTAATATGATCATAGTGAGGCATTGAGATTGATAAATGTCATTGTGAAGCAGTGTTACAGTGAGGTAGAAAACAAAAATGAGGTTGATATAAATGGCTGTTAGTCAGGGAGAAATCTAAATACTGGTTGATATGGTCACAATGATGCTGATATACTGCTACATTCCACCTGGGAGTTGAAAGGAACTCCTGAAGTTATTGTTGATTTGGTGCCAGCAATGTAGAATCTATAACTGCCAGTACAATATGGTCCAGAATTAAGTCCCTCTTCATTGAATACTAATGTTTCCTCCAGGAAATATTGGTGGGATGAACTGACCATGAATAGATCAACCTGATCAATAAATATGTTTGTCACTCCATACTTCTGTTTCTTAGACAAACACCCTGGGAACACATTCCCTGTTACTGTTAATGTAGGAGGGGAAGCGGGGGTTAACACATTCCCTGTCACTGTTAATGTAGGAGGGGAAGGGGGGTAACACATTCCCTGTCACTGTTAATGTAGGAGGGGAAGGGGGGTAACACATTCCCTGTCACTGTTAATGTAGGAGGGGTAGGGGGGGGTAACACATTCCCAGTCACTGTTAATGTAGGAGGGGAAGGGGGGCTAACACATTCCCTGTCACTGTTAATGTAGGAGGGGAAGTGTGAGTTAACACATTCCCTGTCACTGTTAATGTAGGAGGGGTAGGGGGGGGTAACACATTCCCTGTCACTGTTAATGTAGGAGGGGAAGGGGGGCTAACACATTCCTTGTCACTGTTAATGTAGGAGGGGAAGGGGGGCTAACACATTCCCTGTCACTGTTAATGTAGGAGGGGAAGGGGGGGGTAACACATTCCCTGTCACTGTTAATGTAGGAGGGGAAGGGGGGGTAACACATTCCCTGTCACTGTTAATGTAGGAGGGGAAGGGGGGGTAACACATTCCCTGTCACTGTTAATGTAGGAGGGGAAGGGGGGTAACACATTCCCTGTCACTGTTAATGTAGGAGGGGAAGGGGGGTAATACATTCCCTGTCACTGTTAATGTAGGAGGGGAAGGGGGGTAACACATTCCCTGTCACTGTTAATGTAGGAGGGGAAGAGGGGTAACACATTCCCTGTCACTGTTAATGTAGGAGGGGAAGGGGGGGTAACACATTCCCTGTCACTGTTAATGTAGGAGGGGAAGGGGGGGGTAACACATTCCCTGTCACTGTTAATGTAGGAGGGGAAGAGGGGTAACACATTCCCTGTCACTGTTAATGTAGGAGGGGAAGTGGGGGTTAACACATTCCCTGTCACTGTTAATGTAGGAGGGGAAGGTGGGGTAACACATTCCCTGTCACTGTTAATGTAGGAGGGGAAGGTAGGGGTGGGGTTATGATTTATTTATATATAGAGAGAAATATTGATAGTCACTGTTGATTTGCGGGATACAATTTGATAAGCTGCTCAGTCTGCACACCCATCTTATTTTTGTATTACCTGCTGTTTACAGTTATCTGGATATTTCCTGGCCATTTTTTGATGATAAATCTTCTTCTGGAAATGTTTATATATATAGTTGTCTTAAAAGCCTGTTCAATAATTGATATATTTGTACAGTCCTGTAACAGTATTAGTCTACAAACAAGTGCCATTAAGTTCTAATAACTAAGTCATATTTTCATTGTTAGAAAATTTCTGACAGAAAATCTACCAGGCTCTGGCGTCTGACAAGAAGAATTGTCAACTCCAACATGTTAAAAATGATCAATATACAGATAAAATCTATTTTCGGCTCGTTAATATGATTTTGTCTTTTAATATTGAATTATGGTGACCAAATTCTAACTCTACTATGAGAGTCTATTAAAGGATGGGCCCAACACCACAGAAAAGCTGCTAGTGGTTCAGGAAATGCCTTAAGCTGATAAATATCTGAAAGCAAATGACTTTTAGGGTCGCAGAACATGCAACCGAGGCTCCTCTGAAAGTTAGACCTATAGGATCAGTAAGAGGCACTGACCATAGAGGGATCTTTGTGATATGACTACGTTACACACTGAAAATTAATTGATATACTGAAACTTTGCAACATTTCCATGGTCCTTGGATGATCAGGGTCAGAATTTGTATTAAAGGGGGCTGATCAGGGGGTTAAAAAGGGATACATATAGGATGGGAAACCTTTTTTTCTTTTTATACCCCCATCACTGATATCTGCCAAATCTTGTCTATCCCAGATTGAATTCATCACTATAGCTGTTTCATTGCTTTTATGCTTAGGTTTCAGGTTTTAAAGTGGTTTAATGTTTGTGCTTGCAATAGCTATGGTAATTTAAGGAGAAATTTTGATAAAAATTTTGAAAGGTTTCAAAGTTATGACAAAACCTCTGTAACATGAATTCTTTCTAAGTATACTTTTGATTAGGTTTACTCAAAATTCCTGTAACGATTTTGGTTCTAAAGGATTTTGATAAATATGTATGCTTCGGTCAAGTATGAGATTAATACCTCGGAGGAGTTTGGTGTCTTTTAGCATCTGTTGAATCAATAAATCAATAAATCAATTCTGTGTTAGTGAATCCATTTTGTAATAGTTT